CAAAATGCTTACTTGTAATTTTGTCAACCTCGATTTAAGAGTGCTTACGAACTCATCATGAGTTTGCATTAGATTTTCAGTGATGTCACTATCATTCTCTCTCCCAGATATTTGAGGCTCTTCCTTCTGCACAAGCCAAACAATAAAATTACGTTTATCATGTATATAGCTTCTAGATGTGTCTTAGTTGCCAAAACCAGATTTAGAACAAGCTGCAATTTAAATATAAAGAGAAAAGTTTTATATCTATTAGTTGGCAAAGCTAATCATTACACAGTACCTGGCTTAAGATATCACACGCTGGTTGAGATACATGTGTCTCATCCAATGTCATATCGACCACCTGATCAACCACAGTGGGTGTAGCCAGCATTTGAGTTGGACTAACTCGGTGCCTGGATGCGATATAAGATGTATCACATGTCATGTTATGTCTCGTGGGCATTACACGAGCTGGAGAAGTTCTAGCTGGACGTGTTGATGTTACAGGACACTCATGAGATGTCATGTCCATTGACATAGGCCTTACTCGAGGTGCGGAAGTCCTGCGTGGTCTTCTTGACGTAACAGAAGCCTCATCATTTGAAATATTTGTTGTTTGATTGAGTGGCACAGGCAATATCCGTGCTGGAGAAGTTCTAGACTGTTGTGTTAATGTTATAGAAGGCTCATCATGTGTGACATTAGTAGTCTGATCGAGTATCGTAGAAACTGAAGAAGTCCTGGCTGGTTGAGTCAAAGGAGGCTCATCAGATTTCATGTGACTACCCCGATTGAGTACGATAGGCATCACTCGGGCTGGAGTACTCCTAGCTCGTCGTGTTGATATTACAGGAGTTTCGCCTGTCTGTCTTGATGTCTTATGTGAATCTTCTTGCACTGCATTAGTGTTCTGAGTTATTGTTGTACTGGCTGCTTCGGTATGAGTAACTTTTTCTCCTCTCTCAAACTTCTCAACCAACGAGCGTGTCCTCCCCGAGACAACTTTTACTGCAAACATATAATTTTTTTAAGGAAATTGCAACCAGCCAACTTAAATGTTACCAAACAAAGACAGCAAAAGTTTTGAACTCCTAACCTCCTCCAACAATCTTCACGGGACTCAATTCTCTGCTTCCGCCAGGGTTTTCTGTGTCTACATAACAGAAATTTTATACCAGGCAAATAATTACTAACTGATTGTCACCTTAAAACCAAGTAAGTGAACCACAACAGACTACAGATGATGAACACTGTGAAGAAAGTTCTAACAGTAACTAAAGATTTAGATTGTAGCAACCTATACACTACTGCTAAAGACTTTTCTGCCGTTTTATTTATTCTTCTCTAAGATTTGGTGACTAGAGAAGTACTTACTTTTCTGTTCATCACCAGTTTTTTCTGGTGTAAGAAAATTTTCAGTTTTGCTGGAAATGTTCTGTCCTGAGTATTCCAGCCCACTTTTGTTGCCGTCAAAACTTCCAGAATCAACAGACATTGCTCGTCTTGACTCATTGTACTTGCTATTTGATGCGCTACGTACACGAGGTGGTTTAAGGAACATACCTGAGGCAAGATAGCAGAGATATCCTAAAGGTATAATAAATATCTGAAAGTTAAAGTTTAATGAAACTAAAGCTGAGAACAGGGAACCTACGATTCGCTTCATCAGTTGGTGGTTCCGATGATAAAGTTTTTTCAAACTTGTCCGTAATACTCTTGATGGTAGAATCATCTGCATCAAATGGTTTACTACCACTCTGTTCTGAAAGGAACACATTTCGAGTGTGTGACTCCTCCTCTTCAACTTTTAAGCCGCTATTCTTCCCAGTTCCATAGTGAACAGCCACTGACTGATTTGATTCTTCAAACTTTGCTAGAGTCTTTCTTACATGAGCTGGTCTTAGCAACATACCGGGTTTAGTTTTCGAGAAAGTAATAGATTCCCTTCCTGAATGAGAAGATTCTTCCCCACTGTCACTATCCCTTGATACAACACTATGCATTCTGGAAGACTTATCCTCTGCTTGTCCAAAATATGTTGCATTATGCTTCTCGCTCATTATATTAGCGTCTTTTCCTATTTCCAAAGGCGATGTTACTTTCAGAAATCCTGGATTTTGCTCAACAGTCATATTTCCACCTATGGCTTTAAAAGATGAAACGTTCATATTAGACCAAAAGTAAGCAATAAGCACACAGAAGTGAAAAACAGAAAAAACTATATTGATCTCAAAGGCAAAAAGTCACATGCCATCTCCCCCAGGTATTGTCTAAGACCACCTTCTTTCACACAGTAAAGAAAGCCGCTATTTGCATTTTAGACTCAGTCAGTTTCAATACTTACAAAACTATATACAACATGCTTAAAGTCTATATACCTTTTATGTTGTTGATCACAAGATACAGTTGCAATGGTCTACATTAAAACACTTTTGACTAAGTCAAATAACTTTTTTCAGCAAGCAATTGAACTATACATGAACTCATTCAGGTGCCATGATGACATCTAGACAACTCTCTTAATAAGATGTGATTTATACTGACAGATGAAGCCTAGCATAGATCTGCCATGCGACACTTGAAAGGACATGAGCATAAAAACAAAATAAATATTCACTCACAATCGATGTATATGTTCTTTATGGCTTTTGTCTCATAATCTGGGGATGAACTACCCCTTGAGCCACTTCCCATTCTCTCAGGCGATTGATTATCCACGACACTGAATCTTTTCACCATGCATTCATTCTTATCCTCAGATCCAGCTCCATATGGCTCGAGTTGCTGCTTGAATTGAAAGGAAAAGGATACAAACACAAACCTTTATAAAATGTTCTAGTTTCATTTTTTACGTAATTTTGCAAAGGTATGGACAATCACAATAGGTGACACACCGATATATCTGAGACCCAAATCCCAACAGAGTTTCGGTAATATGAGCAACCGATGAACTTTCCTTCGTTGATGCAGAAGTCACCAAGTGTTGACCATCCCATATCAACACTATCTCGGCAAATCACTGGCTCCCAAGAATAAACCTGCAATATGAGAATGAACACTATCTTATCAATGTTTAACTCTGGACAACAACTAAACTGTGTAGATGATCACAAAGACAGTCAAAACCTTCAAGCCATCATCCAATCCACAGAAAAGGGTTCGCCCATCTGGTTGAAAAGTGATTGCACGAACTCCAGTAGCCTGTGAAACAAAGGACACCACAAGCCAAGAAGGAGGTTAAAAACTAAAGTTTTATGAAAATATTATAAGTGAAGCCAAAGCTGTAACAATATGTCATCAGATGCTACTTTGTTGGTTCTATTTATCTAACTTCTATGGTATCCCTTTACCCGTTTAACGGAACTACATTATCACTTGGCACATCCCTTACAGGTTCTTTTCAAAGCATGACTGTAAATAAGGATATCTCTGATATTGTTAATGTATGAATTTTCGGTTTAACGGAGAGATCATACACCATAAATCCAGAACCGGTCATGTTATAAGGCAATAGAGGTGAAAGAGATTGAGATAGACTCTCTTGGAA